GCGCCTTCTTCCCCCGGCCCGTGGCCGGCGCGCTCTTGCGGGCCGCCTTGGTGGCCAGCTGCTTGCGCGGCGCCTTCCCGCCCGTCGACTTACGCGCCGTCTGCTTCGTCCGCGCCATGCTCTCACTCTCCCCCTTAGCGCAGCTAAAGGCTGAACAAAGGAAAGTAAAACATTGCGCCGCGCTCCGACTCTTATTTATATCCGAGCTCTCCTGCTCGATTGGTTGAACGAAAGAGCCGATCTCATTGGACCAATTTGAAACCCCCGCGTTAACCCAAAGAGCTCTGAATTTCGCTTGTTATGTCAGGGGTATACTTTTTTCATTAACTTCATTCTTTTAAATGACTTTTACGTATTTAAAGCATATACTATTCTCCTTTGTGTATTTGACTTGTGCTTTCGGTATAGTATTTTGTTTTCCGCATAACGGCTCTCTGCCAAAACAATAGTAAACGTGTTTTGAGTAAAGCAGGATTTTTTCCTTTTTTTTTAAGAGAGGTATCCTGTAAACCTAAAAGAAATCCAAAAAAATTGTTGCTCATACTCAGGTGAGCTGGTTAATCTACTAGAATTGATGTATTTAATAATTCATTAACATCTATTTTCCCATTTATAAAGAACAAAACATGTATTTCTTAACACTTCATTTTTATACCTGGCCAAGAAAGCAGCTTTAATGCTACTCTGTATTTCGAGCGGTGAAGAAAATCTGAAACCATCACCTACAAATATTTAATAATGTGGACGCTCGAACCACATTTCAGTGCTTTAATTCACTCAAGAAGAAAAAGAGAAGGAAATACTCAACAAAGTAAGTGTCCAGTTCTCCTTCCCTCCCCCTTAAAATTCCACTGGAGAGAAAAAGACTGCGCGTCCAGCTGGGGAGGACGGGGCAGCAGGATACCTGGGGTTAATGCGGGGTTGGAGGCCTTTTCGAATAGGCCAATGAGATTCGTCCTTCCCTACGGGTACGGGAGGGGGGGAAGCCCCCGCCGGCTATAAATAGGGGCCGCAGATGCTCAGCAGCTCTTTTTCCTTTTCTCAGAAAACTGCGGAGAGGTCAATGGCGCGGACGAAGCAGACGGCGCGTAAGTCGACGGGCGGGAAGGCGCCGCGCAAGCAGCTGGCCACCAAGGCGGCCCGCAAGAGCGCGCCGGCACCGGGCGGCGG